GGGGGGGGGCAGGCACACCTGCTCGGAACAAGCGAAGCAGCAAGAACACGCAGGCACACTTTTACGTGCGATCGGCAGCACACGGAGAGAGCGAGAGAGAGAGGAGGGGGCGCATGAGAAAAGGACTGAACAAAATCCACATACACACACACACACAATGCGTACAACAACATGCCGCGGTGTAGCCTTCACTCCTGCGATGCCACACCTCGACGCTTTCCTCAGCCGTCACATTCGCCCGGACCACCCACTCCGTCACCACCCACTCTGGTTAAGCGAGCGTGACTTGTTGACCATCCCTAACGTGCGCTTTGACTACACAAGCTTGCAGAAGAGCGGAAAAAAGGGTGCTGCTGTGGGTCCGGATTCGGTGATTGCACAGGTCCCCAACACGTCTTTTCTCTTCAACATGGATCAGCTTCTCCCGGAGAGCGAGGTTCGCTGGCAACTTCCCGTCGCCGCCACCCCAATGTCAGTCTCGTCAATGCAGCCGTACAAGCAACAGATGCAGAGCATGTTGGAGTGTGCACGGAGGGCGAGGGGTTTCGAGTCAAACTGGTGGGGCACGCGCCGGAGATGGCTCCTGCGAGGGGGACAAGTTGCCCCGCAGGAGCAGGCCTTTCCTCTGCGTGGTTTTTTTATTACACGGCTCTTGCACATCTCACTCCTTGCGAATGCAGAGGACATACTGAGGCACTCCTTTATATCGGGAAAGACGGGTTTATTGCTCTCGTGGTGGAACATGGACACGGTGCCGGGATTGGACAGGGATTTTCGGCGTCTGGTGGAGGCGCACTTCCTCAAGCATGGGTTTCAAACGCCGCTATACTTCTCGAAAGCAGGACTTCGGCGTGCAGGCATTGCTGTCAGACCGGACGCAGACCCTCTTGATTTTTATGAGGTCAATTTAAGGGAAAACAATGAACGTGCTAGCAGTACATCAGCGATCGCACAAAGCATGAATACGTACCAGCAGTACTATCATCTTTCACAGTTAATCCTTCCAGAGAATTATAGAATCTCACCAGCGGTGCTCGAGGCGGAACAGTTGAATCCTGGCTTGCCCATTCACGGCATCACGGGCAAGTTGCTCGAACTGCCGGAGCTGCAGTACGAAGCAATGCGGAACTCCACGTCGCCGGAGTTGGCTTCACTCATTGCCCGCGACAGCGAGTCCGGCATGATGTGCTCCGCTGCAGACTTGCAGTCACCCAGCACCGTTCGGGGGCGGAGCTTGTGGTACTTACCCCACGACGTGCTGGAGGTGGGTGGCCTTGTTGACGTCAACGCGGTGCCGGTGGAGGTGAGTGTGCCCAATACGTCGTCAAACGGAGGGAAGTGTCTCTACAACGTGGAGCAGCTCCTTCTCCCGTTAGAGGGCTACAAAGTCGTTGGATGCATCGCGTGTGTGAAGAGTGCATTTCCAGAAGCAGAGCCGCAGCCTCCGCGTGGAGGCACGGATGCTGATGCTGATGCCGATGTCGATGCCGATGCCCAGGAGGATGCAGATGATCATGTGTTTGCCCTCTGAGGGTACAGCAGATAAGCAGGCGATCATCGAACTATGGTGCATCTTGTGCTGTTTGCGGCCTTGGCTCGTGTCGATGTGAACCTTCCAGATGCCATATTAATTCTTCACAGACCGCTGCTGTTGTTATTCCTCCTACATTCCACTTGGGTTTTATTATTCGTGAATCTTCACTGGTGCGACTCATGCAACGGTGAATTTTTTTTTTTTGCTTGGAATGAGGGGGCAGTCTCCGCCTCTTCGTTTCGTTTTATTTTATGTTCGTCTTGTTGTGTCTGCCGCATCCAGACGCACGCACCCACGTATGCACTGTTGCGCGGGCTCTGCTTGGCTCCCATTTCGCTCGCTGTGTGTTTATGCACGTGCATGCCAGTATCCCTTCTTTTCTGCTGCTACTCTGGTTGTTGTTGTTGTTGTCTTTCCTCCTCGCCGGTGCAGATCGGAGGGACGGGTAGTAGGCGAAGCGGAAGGTCTCACGCATGGCCTTCAGGCACAGTGATGTGTGTCTCTTCTTGGCCAGTGCGGTGACGCGCTCTGCGCACCCCTGCTGCAGCACACGGGTGCTGCGCCACACAGGCAAGATCGTTATCCCAAAGCTGCCGAGTGTGCAGCAGCAGGAAAGCAGCGTTGCTGCCTCAGCAGCCGTATTGTCCTCATCACCATCGTCGTCTAAGCGTCGGAGTGAGTACCGCGAAAACAAGCATCTAGACCCTCGAGTTGCGCAGTTCCTTGCTGGCAACGCTGCCGACACGCTGCGGCGGCAGCAGCAACTCGACCAGTTCCGCACTGCCACCGACAATGCGGCGGTCAAAGTGTGGCGTGACTCAAAAGGCCATCTACGCCGCCACGAGGCGCTCGTAAAGGATATGGGTGTGGAAGGTGCGGTGCGGGAGATGCTACAGCCCACACGAGTCTCCTTCCGGCACGAGCTGCGCCAGCGCCCCCTAGACCGCGGCATCCTGGAGGAGGTCTACAAAGGCCTCCACGGCAGGCGCATCGAGCGGCGGCTGAAGCGCGGTGTGTCGTGGGAGCACTGGATCACGAAGGGGGACGGTACCGCGCCGGTGTTCACTGCCTCACGGAAGGCACAGCAGACATTCGCCTTTGGTGGAGCGATTCGACTCGAGGCAAAGGCCACACATGCGAAGCAGTTCCCCATTCTTCACCCCAACGGAAAGCGCGGCCGTGGAAGCAGCAGCAAAAGTAAAAGCGAAAACAAAAACAAAATCAGTGGTGAGGATAAGGTTGCCCTATTGGAGGAAGAAGGAGCGGTGCAGCGACTCGTGCCGGAACTCGCCTTTATTGGCCGTACCTCTAGTGGTAAGTCCTCCTTGATTAACGCCATTGTGAACGCCATGGTTGCGCCGTATGGCCACCTGCAGGGCACGACAAGCTCGGTAAACTTCTACAACGTGGCCAACAAGGTGGTACTAGTGGATTGTCCTGGCTACGGGTACTACAACCCAATGGAAACGCCGGATATGGACGCAGCGAACGCCGTCGCCGCCATGCGAGCCTATCTTGCAACGTGCAGCAGCAGCAGCAGCAGCAGGCGCTCTGGTGAAAGCACGAGGGGTGGTGGAACGAGTGAGGCGGGGCGCCATGGTTCGTATCAGGTGCGGCCTATCAGGCGTGTCTTTGTGTGCATCTCAGCGCGTGGGCTGCAGCACACCGACATCGCGTACCTCGATCACCTCGAGGAGTTGGGCGTGCCCTTTTCCGTCGTGCTCACAAAGACAGACGCTGCGCCGATACGCTTTCTCACGCGGCTCGCCGACCACACCCGCTGCAAGCTTGTCCATTACAAGCACTGCAAGGAACTCATGCTGACGAGCTCCCTGCGGCTGGCGGGAATCGACAAGATGCAGAGCCTCATTGGCGGCATGGCACTCGGCGAGGACAAACTCCACGGCGCCACCACTGACTTCAGTACCATTGTGTGAAGCCACTTGGGG